AAAAAAAAAAGAAAGAAAGAAAGAGACTCATGCATGCATGAAAGCACGTCGTCATCTTATCATCAATTCATCAATGCCACTAGTGGAACTCAGTTGAGTAAGAAGAGTAGAATGGCGGTCGATCTAATGAGAAGCATTGGTATTTTACGCTCGAACGATATATATATATATATATAGTTGAAGCCTTGCGCCCGCAAGAAATTCCATCTAGACATCGTAACAATCAAAGATAGTCATATCTATGAACATATGTATGTGTGTGCGTGTAGCACGATAGAATAAGGTAGATTGACGAGAGGCGACGAGGTATAATGATGACTAGTGTAATCACTTCCACTGTTCGGATGGATTACATGCATTTGATGAACGTCAGTCAAGTGTATGCGTGTTACATTTGTACTCTTTTCGATTAAAAAAACCTGTAGGTGTATGCAAGGAAAATGACGATGACAGCAGAATCATGATCATCATACTCTCTGAATAGCTTAATGAATGAATCAATTGTAATACATGTATCGTGATTAAAAAAAAAATTGACATACATGGAAGGTAATCATCAAGTATCGTGGCATATATATTGTTTCTTTTGTTTTGTTATTCTGATTTCCTATAATAAATCAATTGATCATTTAAATCATACATAAAAAGAAATATATATATATATATTTATTTTTTTTTTGATATTAATGTTTTGATAGATGTCGTAAAGAATCTATAAAAATCTGTATGGAATGGATACAGAAAATTACCAATCATGATAAATGCAATAAAAGCAAAAAACGAATGAAGAAAAAGTTAAAAATCTTAGTTTTCTATAAAAATGTTGAAAAGATTATTTCAATATAAATCTATATATCGTTTTCATTATTTTACAGCTGTACCACTTGATAATCGTTCTTTAATAAAAGTTCATGGTGATGATACATCAAAATTTTTACAAGGTCTTATTACAAATGATATTGAGTTTTTAAAAACAACAAATGCTATTTATAGTATGTTACTTAATGTTCGTGGAAGAATTCTTTATGATATGATTATTTATAATCCTCATTTAAGTCAATCATCATATTTAATTGAAATATCTCAAAATGCTGTTCCAGATTTTATACGTCTTTTACGTACATATAAACTTCGTAGACAAGTTAATATAGAAGATGTTACACAAGCATATCGTATATGGTCAATATTTTCATCAAAAAATGAATTTCAATCAAATAAAGATGATATTCGTGATTGTTTAAATTTTAAAACACGACAAGGTCTTATTGTTGGTCAATCAGATCCTCGACATTCTAGTCTTGGTATACGTCTTATAACTGAACGTAATATACAAATAAATGATCTTGCTGATTTTTGTCATATATCAAATGATATATTAATTTATAAACAATGGTTATATCAACATGGTATTAGTGAAGGTATTGAAGATATACCACCTGGTGAATGTATTCCACTTGAATATAATATTGTTTATTTAAATGGTGTATCATTTTCTAAAGGTTGTTATATAGGACAAGAACTTGTTGCACGTACACATCATACAGGTGTTATAAGAAAACGTATAATGCCTGTACAAATTAATAATTATGAAGAATTATCAAAAAGTATTTATGATAATACAAATAATTTAACAATTATTAATGAAGAAACAAAACGTCGTGCTGGAAAATTATGTTCATCAGTAAAACAATATGGTATAGGATTAATACGTTTAAATGAATGGAAACATAAATTACGTATTCAAAATGCTGATGTACCTATTAGACCTTCAATACCTAATTGGTGGCCACCACTTGATGAAGCAACAAAAGTTGAAATGCAAATTGATAGTATTAGTTAAAAGACAAAAAAGAATTTCATCTATGTGTATGTATTTGTTTTGTTTTGCTGTTCTTTTTTTTTAAATAAAATTATTGTTTTTTTTATCAATCATCATCATTAACAAGATTAGACTCAAAATATTGTTCATTAATATTCATATCATCATAAGATGATGTTCGTTTATTGTTTAAAGTTTCTTGTAACATACGTTTTCGACGACCTCTTTTTCGATGAACAACTAATTCACCAGTTTTTCGTACTAAAATTTCATAATGTTCATTCATATCAATTGTTTGTCCAATATCTTTAAGTGTTTCAATAAGTGTACCCAAATTTTCAGCAATCCATGTATTACCTAAATAAGAAAAAATTAATTTTTTTTTATAAATAAAGTCAACACACAGGTGGTGGGGTCATGGGGGTTGGGTAGGCTGAAGCCTACTCTAGATTAAGGTATCGTAGGCTTAAATATTGGTTTCTCGTTCCATTATATTAATAGATTTTTGTAGAATATCAAAATTTTTTTATTATCTTCGGCTGCAAATACTTAAGAGGAAACATTTAATTTACCTGATTTTCGTGCGTAAATAATACCACCAGATGAGAATAATGTTTCCATTTCAGGTGTGTAGACAATAGGTGTTGGAAAACATAGAGGTGGTATTTCAGTTTTATTTGGATTGATGCCACAATACATTGGTTTAGTATATGGAAATGTAGCAACAGTTGGAATTGTCCCTATGGGACAACGAATTGGATTTGTTTGAATACAATGAGTTTGTCCAATGCCAGTCCAACATGGTTGTTGTTGTGGACATGGATTTCGTATGATATTATATGGATAGCAATTGGAATTTATAGCTGGAGAAATGTTGGATTTTTCATTTGGTGAAATATTTGGTATTGTTTGATTAATATGATTGTTGTTGTTTGGATTTTGTGCTGTTGATTGACTTTGAAATAGATAAGTATCAATAGGTTTTGAAGATTTATTATTAATATTTTGACAATTATTATAGAAATTAGTTGTAAAATTTATTAAACATTCTGATAGATGATTTAATTCTTCAATTAAATTTTGATTCAATATACGTATTTGATCAATTTTAAGAAATTCACCATTCTATATATAATAGTTCTATTATATATGAAATTTTTTTTTTGTTCATTTCTTTTCTTTTCTTTTTTTTGTCTCTTACTTTTAATTGTAATAAAAGATTATAAAAATAATTGTTTAATATTCGAATATGTTTAATAATTAAACATAAATTTTGACATTGTATATCATTTAATTGATCAATACAACATTGTATTGAACGCCATATTTGAACAGGATCAAGATTTAATATAATTTGATTTGTTATTCGATTAAGAAGAAATTCTTCAATAAATCTATTAATTAATATATCAAATAAATAAGCAAGTTGTTTAGAATAATCACTACGTAATTGAAATAATTGAAAAAAATTTTCAGTAAAATTTTTCTTATTATAAATTGTTTGAATATTAATTGTTAAATCTTGAATAAATTGTACTAATTTATTCGATAATGATTCAATCTCTTGATCAAACATGATGGAAACAAAAAAAAACAACCAATTTTTTAAATATTTTACCGCCTAATATATCGATTAATTTAGAAATAATCATATTTTCAAAATACTATAGAGATTTTTTTTTACTCAATATTTGAATCAAAAACTTCAAATTGAATACATTCTAATTTTCCATTATTCATTTTATTCTGTCCTATTTATGTTTGAAATAAAAGTGTCCGATATTAGATCCATCTACTTTGACTTGAATCAACACTTCCACATAGAATGCAATATATTAGTCTCTAATTTCGGATTAGCCAAGGTCAGTTTCAGATTCGACTAAAATTTTCAGGCGAGTCTTAGATTGGACATATTGTAACTGATCAATCCGAGAATGACCTAAATTGATGTCCGCCCAATGTCGAATTTCAGATTGATCTAGACGATTCTGAAGAAATCCGATGCTAATATATGTACCATATGGATTTATGAAGATAACATAGAAATCAATATAATTATTTATATATACACTATTTCTATTACACAGAAAAATTAATATCAAATTATTTAAATAATGTGATTTTTTTCGCCACACTGATTAAATTATTCAATTGTTTAATAATAGTGATTGTCACTACCAAAAAACATCCAAGATCGGAAAAGTACGTTCTTGAACGACCGTAAATTGTCGTATTATATGGCTTAGTATTACGACCATATTTCTTCGTACGTGATATAGAAAAATACGATCGTAAACGGTAAAACACGGAATATATATTTCGTCCTTGAATGCTATTCGTCGGTTACTTTGAATCCTAATGCATAGATGATCTTTTTTGTTATCCTACACAGTCATTTGTGCCTTTGTTGTTACAGCCACCAGAGCTTCGTAGGACTAGTATCGTTCCGCTTCAGGACAGGGTGGAACAAGATCAATTCACTTGTGCTTCCCGCCAAGTGTATACGAGGCAGGATTGTGGATGTTCTGGAAAAAAAATAAAGGAGATTTATAAAACTTTTTAGGTTTTTTAAAGGTTCTATGTTTTATTCGACAGTCGAATCCATGACAACAAGGTTCTGGTCACAGCAAAAGATTTCTAGGAGAATGTCTTTGAAGGTTTCTACTTTCGGGTAAAAGACAGAACTTTTCAAAGACTCAAAAGATTCTCCAAATCTTCTTTATGTTTTTTTTTGCAGAGTATGTACACTCACACGTCGAAAAATGTCGACAATATATCTTTTCTCAGATCAGTTATTCGATGAGCCGTATTTAAAGTTATACTTCTTATTGAACATTTCATTGTTTATTTTTGTGATAAAAATATTCTTATGTAAATATTGTTTTGAAACAGATGCTTAGTAAAATAAGTGATTTACATCAAAGAAGAAAGTATAAATTCGCTGGATTTTTTTTAATCGTACTTTGAGAAAAAAGAGTTACGTGCAAATAACGGAATGAAGCGGGATGCGATGGGACGACTTTTTGGTCATTCTGTAGAGCTCTGATAGGTACTATATGGTAATTATGTTACAGATATAGGTGAGTTCTCGTTTCTAGACTTAGAGGCCCGTCGGGTTAATCCAAGATCCGATCAGTTCTATTCTAGATCCTATTCTTACAATCTAGGGAATATTTTTCAAATGATCAGTTATTGTATTCTAATAAAAATGATGCATTAAGTTTTTCATATTAATCTTTGTTTATATTAGTCAAACATCAAATATCCTATTTGTTCTTTTTTATTCTATATAAATGATTCTACATACAAAAAAAAATCAAATACACACACATATGATAATTACAAATAGTAAAATTAAACATCATCATCATCATCATCATCATCACTATCAACTGAACGACGTTGAGCAGTATTTAATGATCGAGCAGATAATTTCGTTGTATCAGCAATATCATCATCATCTTCATCATCATAATTACTAATATTACGAAGTTGTTTACTTTTTGATTCTTCAAAATCAGTTGAATATATTTTTTCGCCAGTTTTTGTACTTAATAATAGATCTTCATCATCATCATCATCATCATCATCAGCACTTGATTGATGTCGTAATTGTTGTTGACGTTCTTTTGATGATACTAATGAATCAGCATCACGATCAGAGAATTGATCATTATCTTCATGAATTGAACTTGGTTTTTTAACAATAATTGTTGGTTTAAGAATAATACCTTTTGCTGAATTAGTCATCGATGATGATGATGTTGATGTTGATGATGATAATTGATTTCGTGGTAATTTTCGTTGTTCAAATGCTGTTGTTGTTGTAAAACGACCTGTACCTTCCATTGGTAATTTTCGATGTCGAATATTTTCATCATCATCATCATCTGAAGGAGTTATTTTACTTTCAGTATTAATATCTTCTTCAAAACTTGATGTATATCGTTCACTTAAAGGTGATGGTGAATGTTTTCGATCAATTTGTTGTAATGGACGTCGATATTGTTGTTGTTGTTGTTGTTGTTTTTGTTCTTTTGCAACATCAGCTAATGATATTTCTCGACCAAGTAATTCATTTTCAACTAATTTTTGACTTAATTCAATAGTTAATAATTCAATTTCATTAACAACAGAAAGTAATGCTTCATCAAGTAGAAATTCTGATAATCTAAATAATACGAAAAATTAATTCATAATTTAGAAAATAAGTTTATAAGAATCTCATGTTGCACTATCTCCAGCAAGGTTACCAATTAGTGGAAACTTTTGCTTTCGAAAAGTTTCAAACTTTTTGCAAAACGTTTTTTTTGTTACACCCTCGTGAAAAGTCCTTAGAGAAAGAGAATTTTGTAGTACACGTTAGATTTTATTAGTACTACTAACCTATTAATAACTTGACATGGATCAAAATTATCTTGTTTAGCTGATTCTGTTCTTTGTAAATAATTTCGAAAATCTCGTTGATAACGTTCAATTTGTCGTATTTTATTTGAATCTAAATTATGTAATCGAATAGAATTTCGAGATGGAGATTGTATAATTGTTTTTTCAAATGCTTGTTTATTTTCATTTGATTTTATTGGAAAATCATCAAGTGTATATTCAAGATGTGGTCTATCTATATGAATATTTTCTGGTAATATTGATATTTCTATTGGATTAGATTGAAATTTAATTGTTTTTTGTATTGTTGTTTCTTGTTCTAATCGATTTGTTTTATAATTTTGAATACGTTGTCGAATTTGTGACATTTCATCTTCCCATGTAGATATCTGTGTTTGATAAGTATCAATATTAGTTCGACGCGTACGTTCTTCTGGTGTTTCTAAAACTTCGAAACCAGTTGTTGATGAAAGAATCTGTTGTTGTTGTTGTTGTTGTTGTTGTCTTGGCATTAACATTTGTATAACACGTCCAACTATTTCATCATCTGTTAAACGATTATCAACAAGAAACATTGGAATTAATGTTTGTGCACGTTCAATTTGTTCACTTAATTCACGTCCTGTATAATTCGTAAGAAGACATGGTGCTAATTTACCAAGAATATGATCAACAGTAAAACGTGAATAAAATGGTGTTTCAATTGTTGAAGCAGATTTTATTGATGGTAATGGTGAATGACTTCGTGCTCGAGTTTTCTTTTGTCTTGACATTGTTGGACGAGTTATAGATGATGTATTAGTACGAGGTAATCGTACTGATTCAGCACTACGTGGACGTAATACTGATGGTATTACTCGTGGTTTTCGTTGTTTCTTTTTTATTAATTCATTATAAATAGTAGGTAAAAGTTGATTCGATGGTGATGCACGATTATCAGAAATTGGTCGTGAATGAATACTTTTTGATGGAGGATTATGAAAAAATGTTGGATCTATACGTAATTGAGATAAACCAAGTACATGATTTGTATTTGTTAAAGTTTCAAGAACAGGTAATATAGCAGTGTGAAGTTGTTGAATAGGTGTATCTTGTGGTTTAAGTGGTGCTTCATTTGCAAGAGTTTCAACAGCAAGTAAAATTGCTTTATAAGCATTTAAATGACGATGTATAAGTCGAGGCTAAAATATACAAAAAATGATCAATTCAATATTAGAATACAGTTTTCTGGTCAAAAGAAAGTAAATGAAAAATATTTTTAGGTCGCACTCTATTGTCATTTTACCTCTTCGTTTAGTTTAAAAATCTTGATGGCGAATATCCCGATCAGTAGTTCTATAAGTCTTCTACACTTAGAAATTTATCAACTTTTAAATTCGGCTCAGTAAAGAATAGAGAAAATTTTATTAAAAATTCTTGTAAATATTTTCCTTAAGAACTCTTCTTGAAAAATCACAAAATGAAAATATTCGTAGAATTTCGAACATACAAAATTAGCATCTGATTGTTGTGCATCATTAAGGATTTGTTTAAGTTCTTGATGTGCATTATAAATAGCTCGTGAATCACGTTTTATACGTTCACGTTTAAGTCTTATTCGTCTTTGTTTTTCTTGTTCAGTTTCATCAATAATATTTTCTCTTGTCGGTGGATTATGTAAAATACGTAATTGTATAAGAAGTTGTTCATGAACATCAGTTATTTCATTTTGTTTACCAATAGAAAATGCAGCATATGAATCATTTGAACGAATAATATGAATTGGTGTTGATGTTATTGAAGAACGATTTATTTCTTTTCTAATATCTTTTGAATATATTGAGATTAAAATTAGATTATTAAAATTAAAATTGACTAACCTTTTTTAGGTACGGTAGATTTTTTTGGAACTGATTTAGGACGAACTAATGGATTTTTTGAACGTTGTTGCGGTTGTAATGAACGAATATTTCGTTGTTGAATAGGATTTTTTTCATTCATTTCTTTTTTCCATTGATCTTCTTTAAGTTTACGTTTTGCTAAAAATTGATACATATGTAATTTATTTGCATCAATCGATTGAAGCTGAGGTGATGATGATGATGATGATGATACTGATGTATCATATCGTGGAATAGTTTGTTGAAGAAAATGTGGAGCTCGACCAAAAGAAATCGGTGCAGGATGTGTAACATTAATAAGATTAAGAGGAGAAACAAATGCATTTTCATGAAATTGAAGATAATTTGAAGGTAAATTATTATTTGATTGAGTTTGTTGAAACATGATTAAATCTTTTAATAATAAACTGATTCAGAAGAAAAGAGCTCATTATTGTTGTCCTGACGACGAACATTCAATCTCTAATAACAGAACTATTCAATAGAGGACGCTACTAACAATAATATCAAAACGAGATCATATCATTCTAAATGATTATTATTGTTTTTTCTCAAAGTCATAGTGAAAATTAAAAATTTTTGAAAACAACTATAATCTCTATTGAATGGAATAAATCAAGGAGAATCCATCCGAATTGATTGCGAGCTTTCAATTTCATCTCTGTACTCTACATAGGAGCATTCTTACGTATGGCTCTTTATTTTAGTGACGCTTTATTTCGATGTATGTTATGAATCTTCCTATTCTTTTTTCCGTTATTCAATCAAGTTTTTTATCAATGCTATGATTATTATACACCTATTAATTAGAATAGACCATCGTTGTCATATGAAAATGGTATGACGAGTGGAATACAACCGAAACTTATCGGTTGTATGAATGGCAATCTTAATTGATTGACAGCTGCTCTCCCCTCTCTTGAGATATGGAAATACTTACATACTTAAATAAACAACTTCAATGCAGTTAGTTCGCCTATCTAAATTTCTTTTTTTTTTCTTCATCGTTCAGAGTGTGACTGAGAACTTTGCATGACTATTACCGATACTAATCTCAATGAAAAATTGGATTCTTTACTCTACAACTCCCAAAACTTCTTTGCATTGACCTTCAGCATGTTCTCCATGTCCTGATGGATGAGAGACAATTCCCAAGCATTATGAGTGAATTAGAATCCTATCACAGATTTTTTTTTAAAGTTCTTATCCCATGAATTAATAATCAATTTTTCATAAAACAAGGAGAGATACTTGAAAATTGAATTGAAACAGGTTAAGCATAAAAATCCTAGTATCTATTAGATCTTCGCCATAAGTTGCATGCATCCATCCACATAAGACAATGAGTATTCAAACAAAATTGAATAGCTTTTTGTCTATAATTCTAGTCTCATTAGCATCGAACATTAAGGTCTATCGAAGCGCACACGTACTGCCAAATTTTTTGGAAAACATGCAATACATTCGTCATAACCGCCGGTATTTTCCGATGTATCTTCAAATGTAATATTACGTTGCATCATTCGAACAATAATTGTTTTTAATTCTAGCCAAGCTAATTCTTGTCCAATACATGCTCGATGTCCACCGCCAAATGGAATCATCGTTAATGGATGATGATTTTGATCTTCAGCTAAAAATCTTTCCGGTATAAATTGTCGAGGATCAGCATGATGCCAATAGCGAGTATCAGTATGAATATTTTGTAAAGGAATAAAAATAGTTTGACCACGATAAATTTTCACATCATCAATATTAGTATCACAAGTAGCTCTACGTATTATAAGTCCAGCAATAGGAGCTAAACGTAAGATCTAGAAGCAGTGAAGAATATTACGAAAAAAATCATCTAACATTTCGAAATGAGACTAACCTCTTTTGTTACACATTCACAATAGATTAATGAAGTTAAATTGTCTGACGTAACTGGTGGTTTACCTCTAAGATCATCAGTCATCAGAAGATGATGTTCACGTAATTCATCTTTCATTCGTTGTTGTACTTGAGGATATTTACTTACAAAGAATATAAACCATGCTATAGCAGCTGATGTTGTTTCATAAGCAGCTAAAATCATTACTAAAATTTCATCAAATATTTCTGAACGTGTTAGACCAGATGAAGTATGTTCATCATTGGCTTGTTCATTCAATGATGAGACTAATAAAGCAATCAGATTTTTTGGTCGTTCATTTTCCCGATTATTTTGTTCGTCTTTGACAAGTTTTTCTGCTAATTCATGAATCAATCAATAAGCTTGTTGATATTTCGAATCATATTTCAAATAGATTTTCTTTAACCATCGAGGTATCCATGATGCAATTATTAGAAATTTAGCATAGAAAATAAAATCTTGAAAAGCTTTTTTTATTGATAAATTAACATGAATATCGAAATCATAGTCGAATCCAATGAATCCAATGACATTCATTGTAAATGATTGACAACATAAAATCAAATCTCGATGAATTTGATCAGAATGAAGATTTTGATCAATAAAACGATCAGCACATTCAACAATTGTTTCCAAATGACCAATAACTTTTGTTCGTTTAAACATCGGTAATAGAACTCGTATATGTCGTTTCCATCGAGCACCAGTCAACATTATAATACCATTTGAACAAAGAAGATTGAAATCTGGAAGAAATAATGGTGAATGTTCAAATGTATGATGATCAGTAAATATTGTTTGAACATGTTCCATTCGACAGAAAACTAAACATCGATGTGATCCAAACCAAAATTGAAATTTATCACCAAAACGATGTTGATAATCGAGCATTACTTCACGAAAAGTTGATGCTTTCGATACTATACCAGAATTAATAAGATTACCAAAAAAAATATGTGGTTTCACACCTGGTAAATCATCCGATGATGGAGAATAACCTCTTTTCAAATAGATATAAATCAGAATAACAGTGATTACAAAGAGACTTGCTAATATAATTGATACCATGGCGAAGAAAATATGTTTCGTTAAAGAAGCACGTGTTTACTTTTTCCTTGTTTTTTAGATTCATTTCTATTTAGTAGGTACGTATAGTAAGGCAAAAACGAAGAACGAGAAAAAAAATCATATTGGATTACTCATTAAACAAATCGTATCAAAATATATATTGAGCATGAGATCAATATCAACGAAAAAACATAGTCAAACTTTAATATAAATCGACCTTGAACAACAACGTTTGAATATGACTCAGAATTGACTAGTGCGTAGAAAAATATACTAATCTACAGGCCTGAAGGACATATACTGGTTATTATTCTTGAGGAATATGAATCCATAAATGGTGCTCCCCGGACATTCGCTCCCTGAAGAATTGCTCTTTGAATGCTTCCTCTTGAACAATACTGAATAAAACTTATAAAATACAACAATTATGTATAAGTTTATTAGTTTAAGATTTTGAACACAACAATTGAATAATTAAGATCATGTGAATTCTACAAATTATTGAAATATTACATAATTAGAAATAATATCAATAACAGATAAAAGAACACTGAAGAAAAAATACATAAATACATACAATTTGATTCCCAAGTTAATTATTGATTTTATAAATGAAAAGAATATAAAACTCATGAATGTTTTAATGAAATATTTTGAGCTAAAGCCATAACTAGGGTATGAAGTGTCGGTGGATGGAAAGAAGAATCATGTCAACATGCACATCAATATCCAAACCCACACCTCCACCTTACACCCATTACAAATGATATTAGAGAGCAAATGTCTGGGAAGCAACGGTCACTGTGGAGCAAGTGCCGCGAGAGCAAATGTCCAGGAATCACGTGTTGTGGAAGCAACTGTCTGAGGAGCATCATTTGCGCTACCTTAAATGATCTGAAATTAATAACAACCATAGTAATTCGAGTAGGTGTTCCAAAAAGAAACGGTGTATATTATTGATGGCATTGAAAAATTCTAATTGTTAATTTGGATCCGAAAGTTTTACGTTTTCTACATTGTTTACGAATCAAGCTTTACTAGTCTCCGATTACAAATAAATTGACATTGACACAATAATATCAACGCGACAAGGGAGTTAAGTATGAAAGCAGTGGAGAGAAAGAACGATTGTTAAAATCAACGAAACAAACTATTTATTCATTCTGTAATTCATTGTGTAGTCCTGATGCGAAGGACAAAATCTTTCAAGTTTTGATGGTAAAAAAAGCAAAGGAAAGCTAGAAAATAATTGAATAATTGATTGATATTGCAACTGTTATTGAATGTGGTCTACTTGACTCAGACGGGACTTGCAATAGTGTTTCGTGATCTGTTGTTGTTGAAGTCGACATTATCGTTGAACTTTGATCTGAAGTAATTTGAATCGAGAAACAATTGTACTCACCAAAACTGTCAATTATCTGAAATTTCTGTAATCGATTATTATTTCGATCGCTAATAAAGATCGATCTATAAGCTATCAAATATCAATGCTAACGACCCATCCAACATATCAACTCCATTTCCAATAATACCATTACAAACCACAATACATTTACCAGATTTGTCAATCCTGCGATCGTAGCGACATCCGAAGTTCCTATGATATTATTCAACATATATCAATACTGCACTGTGGATAAACAATAGGAAAACACTCTGATGCATTCTTTCGAATGTAACTCTCTACATTTGTATAGTCAAATATTTTTCAGAATTCTTTTCATTTAAATCTCTGAGAAAAATTATGATTGTTTTTTTGAAATAGATCAAATGAAATATATGTAATAATATAAAAATAAAGTTTTTCTTTGTTTTGTAACAAGGAAGGATGCAGTGTAGTCATGCGCTGCATCTTGACATATTCTTTCAAAAACAAAATTAAATGTATAAAATGGTGAACCACAGAGAATTTTGGAGTTTTATGATGAAAAAAAAAGCATGAAATAGAGACTTTTGTAGAAACGATGTGATGAATCAAAAAATCATGTCGTTTATGAAAGATCAGATTTCAGACTCTCTTCCCAATTTTCATTTTCTTAACGAATATTTGCCTATTTTAACAGAGAAAGGAAGGAAAAAACTAATATCAATGAATAAATTACGATCAGTGCTCCTAATTGGAAGAACTTTTTGAAGGACGCGAAAATTTCTCTTTTTTTCAAATTATTTCAAAAACAATTTCTAAACGTTTTATGTTACTAAGAAGAGAGTGTCTGCTGAATTGAATGATGCAACAATCACTCAAATAATTAACGGTAGTTTGCGAGTAACTGAGTATGTTATTATTAGGAAGACTCTTTCTAATAACAACAGACTATGTAAATTAATAGTTTTAGTAAAGGAAGTTTTTTTTTCTTCTTGTCTGAACGTGAAAATTTTTTGGTACTTCCATAACAAAAAATGTTCCTTCATGTATGGTTCATTAACTTGTAACGGTTTCAAGCAAACGGAGTTTTTCATCAGTAACATCAATACAAAACTATACTATTACTATTAAATGACAAACTGTGATAACTGTATTATAGCTACGTATCAATCGAAAATATAAAAAGTTGAGCTGCGTCTATACATTCTGGTTTGTTTTACAATCGTGCTTCTTTAATTGTAAAAATAATTCATGAAAAAATTTTCATAAACTGTCTCGTGTCATAACCAGGGATATAGCCATTGGGTAATTATCCATACTGAAGCCTGTAATAACTGCTTTAATACATGATTTTTAATCAGGATCCTGAAACATGAAAAGAATTATGAGCAATTGCTATTGATTTTTTGTTAAATAGTTAGCAACGTCTCGTCCACTATTCCCATTAATTTTTCGAGTTAATTCCAGGCTTTCCTTTGGTAACAAAGTCTGACAATGATTTTCTGTCTAAAAAACAATAGAAAACAAAACCAGAAGGAGAAAAGAGAAGCAATTGCGTATCATTTGTACCTATTTTTGGTATACTCAGCGGTCAGAATATAATGTATCATAGCAGCTGATAAGACAACGGCAATAAAGAAAAGAAAAACGATGACAGAAACCAAATCAACATTTTATTCATTGCGTAGAAAAGGAAGATGATATTATAGTCTTGTGTTGATAAGACAAACGGATAGAAGACATTATTTATACGGTATCGAGCGAGCTGGATGTGGTAAGAAAACTAGAGAATATAATAATAATAATATTACTTTACACAAAGAAATGTATTTGTGTATTCATACGATCGACAAGATTGTACCTAGAAGTGTAAATCGATCAGGTGAGCCGCACCACCATCACCGTGATTCAAAAATAGATATTTGATTTTTAAAAGTGACTAACGTTCCAAATCAATCTTTCGAGATGTTACTATCTGGTTTCTTGCTAATAAATTCCCTACATTCGTTTTGTCTCTTTTTCATTTCAAAATAAAATAATTTTAGAACAAAAATAATCAAAAATTTTCAATCGACATCGACAATGATCAATACATCGACTTACACAGTAGATCCTTGTATATACAAGATAAATTTTTGGAAAACTTCATATCTCGACGAAACTTTGGTCAAAACTTCTGAGCTTTTTTATCTATTCAGATCAAAAATCTGAGGTCTCTAAAAAAAAAATTCGATAGTTTATAATCAAACCCAAATCTTTTTAATAAAATACAAAACATTATTCATCACGTATTTATCACTAAATACCATTATGCAATATCATTTTTAAGTCTACGTATACTACAATAAACTGTGATCGCAAATCGTCGGTTCACACTGAACCTATGCCATAGCGCTGACTCGACTTCATTCAATGTAAAACTTTGACAACGGACTTATCGTCTCACAAGAACTTTCTAGTAAAAATTTTAAATGAATCAATCGAAAAAGATCCATCTTACTACAAAAAAAAAACACCAATATTTGCTCTTCTTAATAAGATGATAATATTTCAGTTATTTTCAAGTGATTTCTAATGAAATTCAAGCTAGAGATAGCTACGACATTGGACTTTCGAATGAGTTATTCGAGAAAAATATTCGTGTCAATATGGTTGAGATAAGGTGACCACAAGAAGATAATATCTGAATCATAACTTCAATACGTGTGAACCGATAGAGGGCGGGTTAGTGATCAAGGTTCATTGTCGTACACAAAAAAAGCAGTTCAATGCTATAAAGAATAGTAACACTTCATAGAAGAGCAACTACTTTTATTCAAGACTCTTGAATGTTTTTATTTTACGTTAAAATAAACGAATGTTTGAATATGAATACAAACGAATAATTGCAACTTCTTATTTATATAATTGACGAACAAAAGTTGTTGCTTTTATAATGTATATGATCACATTGTTGTTTACATTGAAATTGAATTTCTGTTATTCTTCTTCTTTATTCATATATTATGATGAATATCATCATTAGATTGTAATGAAAACTTTCAAAATACTAAATATTACATGACTAGTTGTCACAAGATGCATCGATGTTCGATTACAAAAACATACTTTGGATTCTATTGGTTTGAAATAACCTATCAAATGAAACACTATGATTCATTTAATAAAAAAAAGTAACGTACATTGTTCGAATAAATTTAAAATAATAATCCTAAGACTATGACATCAAATTCAGCTTATGCTGATCTTGTTGATCGGCCACTTTTTGGTGAAACAAGATCTCTAGTAAATTATAATTTAATTTTTTTGATTTATATTTATATAGTTAAAATTGTTTTCTTTTTTTTTTTATTTATCTATTAGGATCGAATTTCATTCATTATCATTACTGCTCTAACGACTGTCTTTGTTCTTGTAAATTATTGATGATGAACATAGAAAATATTTTAAATATTTATTTAATTTATTTTTAGGCAACATTTGTTGGCATGTTTCTTTTCAAACATTTTAGTGGTACACATATTTTTTTAAATATTTGTCTTATTTTACTTCTTGGTTCACATTTATGTTTAGTAAGTAATTATAAAAAAATGAGATTGTGTTAATTTTTTATGTTTTCTTCAATTTTTAT